TTAATGCTCAACCAGAAGTATGATTTCATCAATTAGGCGAAAGTGACTCGTGAAACCTACCTTCAACACAGTTAAATTGCATTGTGTTGTTATTTTGTCCGCTAACCATTGAATATGCACACATCTTTTACACGCAGTTAGCTGTAAAAGAGGAAGAGCCAAGGAAAGCCTTAGACATGGGCCCAAATACCTTAAGAATTTGATGAAAGTAAGGTTATTAACAATAGCTGTCTTGCCTAAATCAACCCTCTCCTTTGCGCCTAGGTCAGGGCCACACAATCAGAGTGGGAGCTGCTAAAGCAGATGAGATGCAAGCAAGAGCATTGGTGTTTGGAGGCAGAGGCAACCCACTGGCGAGAATGAACTCACTTGTATAGAAACTGTGTTCGTGCCCAAATACAACTGACTGCTATTCTCCTCAGAATCCACGGACTCTGAATGTCGAGGCCTTTGACCTTCGCCAACGACTAGCCTAGTAGCGACCTGCAGTTGACGGGATGAAAGAAATCCAGACATCTAACATTTACGCTCTACTTAGATTGTGTGCAACCCTCAGGTATTGCATTGTATTGTGCTGCACTGTAAAATTGAAAGGGGAGGAGACCGTATTTTACGTCAAATGACGCCAATATATTCTCCAGGTTTTATGTAAATGAAGACTGTACATTATAATACTTTCGGTGTCCAGAATCTCCCACAATCTTTTCAAGCCAATTATTCATTTGTATAAGGGAAATAATTACCATTGCACTTAATTTTAACATTTGCCAAGTCTATAATAATCTTGACATTAAGCCACCTTTCCTTCGTGTCCCTGAGCAGGTTACTGACATGTTTATTCCATTAAAACCAGTTTTTTTGTCCCCCAATCCTTACTGGCGCCAACTACGATAATTTCTATTAGATCAAACATTCAAAGAAAATGGGAAGAGGAGGGAAAACAGAAGTCCTCTAATCTGTCTAAAGCTCGAACAACGTTGGATGCGGTTAACCGATGAGCAAAAGCATAAATAATATGTAGGGGTCAAATACCAGAGCCGGAGCTACTTTCTTCAACCGAAGTAATTGGATTTGGTATGGTGCGGCTTGAGGGACTCATGTGTCCTCTCGTCAGTTGACTAGATGAAGCCTCGATTGTTTCAGTCTGTTGAATTGATGCTTCTTCATTTGGCGCATTGCTAGATGGATTTACTTTAGATTCGTCTATTTGTATTTGCTCCTGGATTGTTGGCTGTTGAACATTTGCTAATGTTGATGCTCTTTGTAGGGGATTCTGTTCACCAGGATTTGGGTCCATTGTACCCTCTGAGCGGGAACGGGGCCGCCTGTTGCTACTGCTAGATCCGGTGCTGTGCTGCGACATGTAGACGCTCCAATAAATAAATTGATGCTATTCCTTTCTTTACTAAAGGAAATCAGATATTATCAGTAGGTATTATTGAATGTTCCACTTACCACTTCGGTAAGTTACCAGATACTCGAAAGCACTGAGCGAAGGACCAACTTCTGATTAGTTTTACAAGGGAATAAGAGTCAGAAGTGTGAGTTTTGCTAGGAAAACCACTTCAAAGCCTTCTATACAGATTAAAACAAACGTAGACATGTATAAATTTACAAAAATAATTCCCTCTCAAGTGACTTTTTGATGCGAATTTTCTATTTACGCTATAGCTCTCCTTTACGCATCGAATCCGGATTGCTACTTTGGACTTGTAACCCTTCATCACAGTCCCAAAAAGTGCTCAAATAGCAAGGTTCAGTTTTAAAAAAAGGGGCAGAAGTCAACAATATATTGTCTTAAAATAGCTACAAGTTTAGTTTGAAAAATGCTGTCAATGGGAATAGTTTCATACCAGTGTTTAGTTCTCCATACTTTGATGCACTTTAATTTCCTTAAAGAAAAAAGCTATAACTCATGCTACGATAATCCTAACCTCTCATTTATTCCTCTCCGATCATTAAATCACTTTACTGCAATTTCTAATACTTTTTACACTGCAGTTCCTTTACTTTTGGATGTAGCTCTATCCAATAAGGCATATACTGGGTGGCCAAACTTTCCATTTTCTCCCCAATGTCAAATTTGGCAGTTGTGATGTCTAAAGCAATCAGATTTTGGAGGAAAGCGGCCAACGTTAGGTGTGTAGTTTTCTGTAACGTAAAGGAGACTAATTTGTTGCGTTTGGAATCCTTTCAAAGGTAGCAATAGACAAAAGCAATTTGGAGGAATTTACTACTTATTATTGTACTGAAGGGCTGGGGGACTATCATTCTGTCCTGAAGGCCATGCCGCCAAACAGACCTGCAACCTGCAAACACCAAAGTCTGCTATAAAAATTGAAAATTATTGGTGCTTAATTATGCATATTCCATGGAGACTGTGCTATCCTGTCTGCACAACCTATAATTTTATGAACATGTGAGTAGTCAACTGTGGCCCACTCCAATCAACCCCTTAGATCGGCGAATGGAATATGTTCGTCGGAGGAATGCACATTGCCTTGACCGTAAATTTGGAATGGACCTATATGAATTAATGTAACAGCTCAGCTACTCCTTGCTCAAAACCTCGCTTCAGTTGAAGGCTTAAAACCGAGAGTCTTACCATTGATATCAAAGGGCACAAACGAGATACTCGAAAATGTTGATATTTATTATTGTTTACAGTAATAAAGGATGACACTTGTAAATGAATGTGCATAGTTCAAACCTGCTGTTAATTGTGATACTAAGTAAATAGATGCTTGATCTGTCATCAGTAAAACAGTCGAATGATGTAGATGCATGTCTGTACGTGATTGGCAGTATCAGTTGAGATTTTATTCCCCCTTAAAGTCATTCATTCTAAAGCATGAATTGTCTAATTGTGGTTGCTGAACCTACACATAATCCTAAGGTAGTCTTTTCTTTCATGAGAAGAGTAGTGGGCAAGATTATTTCCGATGACATGACATTCCAAAGCAATGCTGCACTGAATCGAAGCAGCATTTGGATAAGGCAGGTCAGGTTGTTTTGGTTTATGTCAAAGCGTGGATTGCTCCTTTCATTTTAGAGTCAAAATGAGTATCATATTGGTGGATGTTAGTGGATTTACCTATTGCAAAAAGAGGTGATTTGAGGTGATTTCCAAGGCCTATGTGGCCTCCATTACTTGGATTTTCAGCCCAAGTTTTCGCCATCATCAATGAATGATATTCTGATGTTCCCTTTCGTGTATAAACGCGTGAGAGGAAGAAACAAAGAGACATGATTGCATCGAAACTTTTTTTATTTGTGGTCCGGAGGAAAAGAACATACTGCTCACTGAACTACATACACTCTCCAGCGGTTCTATTGGAAGAACTCTCAATGACCCTCTTACTGTCCCGCTCCTTGAACCTCTAAGACATCACTTTAAGTGCTTCACAGCATTCCCTCACTGCTGTGTAGCCAAGCAAACCTAACTGCTAAAGAACAGTTTAGCGGTAAAAACATCCTTATATAGCGAGCACCCTCTCCACAATGACTTATGTGTTCCCATTTTTAATTTTTCAACCAATAAGTTTACGGATTGAATCAAACCGACCAATAGAAGAGGTGAAGTGAATCATTGATTATCCAATCAGCGTAGAGCAGACCACATCAACGGAAGTGTATAAAAGCTCAAGTCATTCAGTTTCAAATGCTTAAGAGAAGTAGCATTTCGTCGATACTATGATGGACGAAGCGTCAAATGAACCAGGTTCTATTAAAGAGAGTCTAAAGCTAGCTCACCAATTGGACGCTACGAATATGTCGGTGGATGAGAATGAAAATGAAGAGCTGCATGACTGCTTTACACTTCTTTGTCACATCAGTAATATCTGAGCGGTATTGGCAAAATTATAGGCACGTCGTCATTTGTGCTAGTGGTTTGCTTTTTGGGAATATGACCGCAATCTTGAGATACCTCTGCCGACTTCATCCTATAGGCATGAATGATGCTGCGAAATGAAAACGATGCTTTGATTTCATCTGTAAAATGGAAAGAGAGCAAACTTACGGTTTACTTTTGCAGACTTCCAAGATTTAGTTTATTTTCTATATCCCAATTTTTTTCGGATTTGCATTTGCTTTTATGCTCATGGTAACTCCAAGATAGCATCCGAACATTCTTTGGAAGGAATAGAATTCAAAAGTCTGCCTGATTCTAGTGAATAGTGCATATTACCTGTGGGCATTCTGAACGATTTTCTAAATGCTTTGGCCTTCATGACAAAGCAGAGAGCGTTTGATTTCTCGCCGCTTAGAAAATTGTCACTATAATCCATCATTCGATTATACATTCAAACAAAA